CTAGTGAGAGAAAGTAAAAGATAAGATAAGTTTGTTATTCATCTGTTACATTCATCAATGTATCGTTACAACTATATATACTCTACCAAACCGGTTTAATATAGATAACCGGTATATAATTGATTCCAATAAGGTAATGCAGCCGAAGTGATATAGGAACCGAAGAAGTCACATGATGTGCCCATGATGGAACAAGACCGAGCCGGAGACGGAAGTTATATTGAAGGTTTCCCAATAATTGGGATTGCAAAAGTGGAGAAAGAGAGAAATTGAATTCTAACATGTCACTAACACCTAGAATCTCATAGGTGTCTTCTTGTTTTTTATACGTCATGTGTCGTCACGTTGAGTTTCTCAATTGAGTTAAGAGGATCTTCCTTCATTTTCTGATCTTAATGAGTTTTTGTTATGTAAAAAAGAAGAATTTTGGAAGTGAGATCGTAAACATAGCTAAATGGCCAACAACAGCAGAATCATTTACAATCAGAGGAATCCAACGCAACATTGGAACATAAGTTAATTGAAAATTTAGCTGTTGTTGAAGAAATCTTGTGGTATTATGGATGGACAGAACTTCTTTGCCACAAACTTGTACTGCAAAACAAAAACAAATCCACTTCGTTATTACACAGAAACAAGAACTTTGATCATCATTCTTCTTCTTACAAACAAAAAAAAACACAAACTTACTTTGTGTTGACTGTACTTCTCTCTTACAGCAGGCAGAGTAGAGACATGAGCATTACTACACAATCGTTGAAGATCCTTTACACATCCTCTCAACTCCAACGCTCTATACTGCGTGTAGTGTTGCAACGTCGAATTCTGATCAACCAAGAAACAATTAACAAATATTACTACACGATCAGGTAAAGAAAGCCAAAAGTCTGTCCAGTCACAGAGTAAACATACCCATGGTCGTCTTGTTGGGTCTAGAATGTACTTCGCCAAGAAAATGGCGGAAGCAGCAACTAGTGAAGGAGAATGAGAGAGCATTGTGTACTCCAAGAGCGATAATTCCGCAATGTAGTTGGCCATACATTCTAGCTGCATCAATGGAGCCTGTACAAGTAGAACAATACACATGTATAAATTTACAATACAGGTATCTGAAAAGTAAAATCCTTTTAGAAGCTGTTAATTACCTCATGAACCCCATGTGCAGCGCGAACAAAGCGTCTGTGTATAAAGTTTGTGAGGATTCAAGGGATTAGTACAACTGAATGAGATAGAAATCAAGGATCTGTTCTGTAATGATAACAAGAAAATCATCTTGCTAACCTTAGAAAGCATTTGGTAGTTGGGGCTGTCATTTCAAACTTCAAGTAATTAAGAACAGTGGATTCCATGTCCAGAACCTGCAGATCCAAAAGAATCATTCAGTATTTTTATCATCGAATTTTGTTCTCATTTATCGAATTCTGTTAAAACACACAAACCTCATCCTTGAGGTATGTATTATCAGTGATGTAGCAGAATTCTTCAACCTGTGGTGCACATATCTCTTCGTATTTACTGCAACATTCATGAATTTGGCATCATCAGATTTCTGCTTAAACACAAGAAACAAAAACCAAATAGAGGCAAAAGAAATTTGTTTTCTTACGCTGCTATCATCATACATGCCACACCAAGCAACTGAAGCCGCTGTCTACTAATCACATTCCCAGACAGATATCTATCTATGTAGTTCACTGTCAGATACAACGTCTCGGGTACAAGCCTATACTCTTCTGATACCTGACAGAAACCAAAAACTTAGTTATACATTGGCCAGAACTGACTAAAGCATGAGATTAAAGAGAATTCTGTAAATGTTGTTAACTATATAATTCACCTCAACTAGCCAATCAACTAGGATTCCACGCATACTGGAATTTACGTCTTTCTGAACTCTCTCCATGAAGTCAATCGCAGGCCGCTTTTTCGCCTACCATAGAGTTACAGATTCAGAACTTGCAAACCATAAAGCTACTAACATTCTAGATAACAAAGATTTATACCTCAGATGCACGCAAATGCTGATATATGTCACAGGCAAATGTTGCACAGAGCTGCGGATCCGCATAATCATTGTCGATGTTGACAAATTGAGCCTTATCATTCTTCAAATCTGACAATACATCTCTGCTGCAATATTTTCCTGCAATCCAATCATTCTAACAAATTCAAAACACAAACAAAAACATAAGGAACAAAAGTATATAAACAAAGTAGAGAAACCATTAGTAATACCCAATGTCTCTGGATTCTGCGTTATGTAGAGATTACTGAGTGCCTTCCTTTCAATAGAAACAACAGCCGAGACTTCGTCATTGTCGATATACTCCACTTGAGGGCTCTTGAAGGAATCACATGTAGACATTGTCTCGTCCATTGAGACTGTGGTATCATCATCAGATTTGCTAGGAGAAGGCGCTTTGTTATCGGATTGGTAATGTTCACAAGGCAAGGAAGTAACTTTGTTCTGAATTACGCTTGGCTTTACACTTTGCAGCAGAGGGAAAACAGTGTTCGAGACACCGGCATTTAAGCAAACAGGTTGTGTAGGTGCCAACTTTAACTTCGCAGACTTGTTCGAGCAATGTGCCTATCGAAAAATCAGAAGCAAAAAAAAAACTCAATTCAATACAGATTCGATCAAAGAAGCAACGAATTCATAGTGCTTTACAATAAAACAATTCTTCAAAATTGATCACAGAAAAAAAAGTTGTAAATTGACAGAGCAATCAAGAAATGAAGAACCAACCAGATCGGAAGATGGAATTGGGATTCGGTTTTGATTGGTGATGTTACCAAGTGGGGCTCGCTTCTTCGTCATCATCGGTTTAACGGAGTTTTCAGAGGAAGAAGGTGCGTGACGCTTTGCCATGGAAGACTTTGTGGAAGAGGAAAACGAAGATCGACGATTCTGATGAATGTTCGACATTTGTTAGGGCTTCCAGAGAAGAAGAAGGAAGGATAAATCTGAGAAAGGAAAATTGTGTTTAAATG